GCCGTCTCCAGAAATTTGGAGCCCCAGACAAGTTTTTTCTTTTCGAATTTTCCCGATTTGAACTTACATGGTAATTAGGGCTATTTGCAGATAGAATCATAAATTTAAACGAGATTATTAACTAAATAAATAAATAAATCAATAATTGAAAAAAAAAATCTTGTTTTTCTTAAACTTGGAATTGATAAATTACCTCCGGGCTACAAAGATCTTTAATAAATTACAATCAATCAATCACGAGGACAACAAAGAGAAGAAAATAAAAATCATGTCACTACAAAGAATATTTATTCTCACACAACTTGTTCTGACCGAACATCATACAAAAACAAATGAAATATTGAGGACCCCAATTTCACACACAAATTACATATTTTGCTATTAGTCACTTCATTTGTGTAGTGGTTTGTGTAATGACTCAAGTCCATATTTAGCCATTAACCCCTTTATTTGTATAAATATTGTGTAAATAGACAAAATCCAACACAAATACATAATATTAAAATAATAATGAGGCCTCATTTGTATAGATAGACAAAACCCAACACAAATACATAATATTAAAAAAAAAAAAATGAAGCTCCAAATAAAATGGAGGCCCTAGGCCCATGCCTAAGTTGCCTACCCCTGGAGCCGCCTATGGCCGGAGGGGACGAAACTTTGTGCAAACCGATGGAAGAAGAAGATGCTAGGCCCGCCAAATGATCAGCGGCAAAGTTAGCCTCTCTATGCACGTATTGTATTCGAACATACCAATCCAATGAACCATGCTTCGAATAGTCTTAAAAATCGACTCATGAGCGCCGAGATGATCCTCCGAGCCAAGCACAATTCTTGTTGCACATTGACTATCAACTTCAGCAATTACTTTACGAAAACCCATCTCCAAATCCAACTGAAGACCCCAAGACTCGGCACCCATAATGGTGCATTGGCCAATATTCATGAGAAAGCCCACAATCCATCTACCCGACTCGTCTCGAATTAAATCTCCTGCACTACTCAATCCCATGGAAGTATCAAAAGCACCATCCGTATTCACCTTCATCCACCCCGAATTCGGCGGATGCCAAGATATCAAGCTGAGTTTCATAGCTAGCAGCTCCATTAGACATGAGCCAAGCCCATAATGTTTATCTCCATTCGAAATATAAAATGATCTAAATGAAGCAAAATGTGTAGCCATGAAAAAAGCAAAATGCACAGTTTATAACACAAAACAATAAGATGATCTCTTATATAACCCTTGCCAACAGTAGTTACAAACTCAGGAGGACACACATCTTTTCACCATTAGGATTGAAAAATCCTGATATATCCATAACAAAGGCTAATAATAATCATATACATTACTTAATCCATCTAAACAAACACTGATATCCTTCCTTTATCGACCGTTAACCTCTCTTCAACCGTATCATTCATTCATCGAACACGACTCGGATAGTAGAGTATATAAAGGTAATACACAAAAGAAGATGATCCGAAAATATAGCACATGGACCGACTTTTTTTTTCTTTTTTTTTTTT